TGAGTTGCACTTGAAGCAACATTTGCGTCTCTTTTTGTGTTCCTTGTTATTTAACAAGAAGTAATGTTTTACCCACTTATTGTATTAAATTGAATTGAAGTTTAAATTAAATGTTTGACTAAAGTCATCGAGAAAAAATTCATTGAAACCAACACATCTATTGTCAAAATTATCGAGAATGCCGAAGGCAATGTACTAATTCTTAGCACGCTGTCAAAATGCCGAGAGTAAATTTAACAATTAATGAAAAACTTAAATTAATTAGTGACTTCGATAGTGGTATTCCTCGTTTAGATCTGTCAAAAAAGTATAGAGTTGATAGGACCACGGTATGCCGGATTATTAGCAAGCGAGAGGAACTAGAAATGGCAATTTCGATCAAATCGCCGAAACTTAAAAGGTAATATGTCAAAAATGTATGTTTATTCCTTGTTACTAATTTGACCTTTTTTCTCCACAGACTCAATGTTTTTAAAGATGATTTTGATGAAAAAATTTTGGAGTTTATTTCAAAAAGTTTGTCTCAAGGCATACCTGTGAATAATTGTTTAATTAGGCAATATGCAAGTAATTTAGCGGACGAGACCAGAAAAGATTTTAAATGTTCAAATGGATGGTGGGAAAAATTTCAAAAACGTTATGATATAAAATATGGAAAATTGAGCGGTGAATCAAATGCTGTGGACATGGAAATTGTGAAAAATTATCGAATTGATGTTATTCCGAAATTGATCGCAACCGATAAGCAACTAATATTCAACTGCGATGAAACATCATTTTTTTATAAATGTTATCCAAGTAATTCCTATTACAAAGGAAGCATTAAGAAACATGGTTTAAGGTTCCTTAAAGACAGAATAACAATATTACTTAGTGTCAATTTGCTTGGAAATAAATTGGAACCCTTTTTCATCGGAAAATCTGCAAATCCTAGGTGTTTTAGTGAACAAAATGGAAACAATTTACTCTCAAAAATTGAGTATGCCTCGAACAGTAATGCATGGATGACAAAAGAGTTATTTCATAGGTGGCTAACAAAATGGCATAAAAATTTGGAAGTTGAACGAAAACAAATAATTCTCGTCATGGATAATTTTTCAGCTCATAAATTGGATCAAGACGACTTCCCACTAATCAAATTTCATTTTTTACCTCCGAATACAACATCTCATTTGCAACCTTTGGATGGAGGAATCATCAATTGTTTAAAGAAGCGATATTTGACCCGATTATTCAATTGGATATTGTCTAAAATTACTTCAAATGAAGACATTACTACGTTTATGAAGGATCTCAAGTTAAACAAAGCAATAATTTGGTTGATCGAAGCTTGGCAATCAATACCTGAAACAATGATTAGAAACTGTTGGACTCATTGCGGTTACATGAATTTTGATTCCCAAATGGATTTAGTCAATGAGGATGATAATTTCGAGGAAACTTGTGCAAGAATGAACAATTTAAGTCCATTGATTGTACCCTCGTCTGAGCAATTGAACGACATGATTGATGCTTTCAATGAAACTACGATAATTTCAGGTGAACACCAATAGGTGACTCTAGTAGTAAGCTGTGCAATATGAGAGGTATGACTGTAGTGCTTTTAAAAAGTTTCCCCGGTTCACAGTTTTCGAGAAAATCGATGTCCGAGTTTAAATCTTGATAGACTTTTAACTATACAAACAGACTGTTTATTAAACTTTTTTTGAAGATGTAACTTTTGATGGTCAACTAAAAAATGCACTTGTTAAGAGAAATAAAGTTTTCAGTTTCCATAAAACAGATCAAGTGCGATTTTCATTCAAACCGACCGCATTCTGTGACCATAAAAGTTAAAGAGCTAAAACTTATACTTTATTATTCACATATAAAAATTGTAGGTAGACTACATGGATTGAATACTTATTTCAATTTACCACCAGTTCTATTGATTTTGGCCATTAACCCGAAAACTTTGAGCCAAAATTTTTCAAGAATGGCATCATATGCAATCATCATTCTTTGACCAGACATTAGATTTTATTATGGTTTGAAACATTTTATGACTTGGACTAAGCAAATTTGAGATTATTAATTTGGTGTAGAGTCTTTTCGCAAATTGAGAACTTTCAAATCCGTTCCCAGTAACTCGCTAATTTTGGAAGAAAGGATTAGGATTAACACAAATCAGGGAAAGGGTCAGCAAATGCTTTTGTTGTTTCCGAAAACATCTTGCGAACACATTGATTTTTTTGAAATATATAATCAGGAAAAATATGAATTCAATTCATTTCAGCTATTTCTTGTCATGATGGAAGTTTTGCAGTCTCAAAGAGGTGGCAAGTTACTTGTTTTCAATGAATTTCTGTTCAATTACAAAAATAAAAATAGTGATGTGATCTATTGGAAGTGTTTTGAGTCTCAATGTGCTATATTAGTTCATACTGATTATACTTATAATTTACTCAGGAGTAATAATGATCATAATCATGGTGTTCATTGTCAAAAAATTGAAAAAATAAGGTTGAAAAATCAAATTTTGGTTATTGGTTTTAAAGCTTTTGACTTTCATGCTTAACAACTAATTTTTAAACCATGTTTTTGCTCACTGCTTTGCAAATAGGATTTGCGAAAAGACTCCAAACCTATTAATTTAACACTGAATATACAGTAACGGTCAATAAATTCGTCAGTTGATCAATTGATAATAATTCAGTAATTAGTGTTATAGTTGAGTAAATCTTGGTAAATCTTTAATAATCAATTAGCTTAAATCAATTGGAATCAATAATCAGTATGAAAACCATTGGCCTTAATGCAGGCTTTCATTTGATTGGTCATTGAGTCAACTAATGAAGTAAACAAATCAACGGAAACTTCATCCCAAAATCCATTTAATTTTATGATTAATTCTGATTTATTTTTGATTAATCTTTGAGATAACCTTTTTTCCTTATCGTCCATAAGTTTTCAATAGGACTGAGGTCTGGGCTATTAGCAGACCACTTCGATCCCTGATTCTTCGAAAAAAATTTTCGTTTTCTTGGCAACATGGGAATTAGCATTATCTTGTTATAACGCAAAATGCCCTGGGTGAAGTGTTTCCATGGTAGGCATCATAAATTCTTTCAAAATATAAATATAAGTGTCAGAGTTCACTGTTTGTTCGCAAATTTTAAGAAAAGATTTGCCTCTTCAGCTTATTACTCCCCAAATCTTAATTTTCATTGAAAACTTTTGATTTCGATAAAACTTTTCTGTTTTTTGACGATAGTTGAAATGTTGATTCGTCACTAAACACTACATTATTTCAGTTAAGTTTGTCAGCTTATTTTGACGACAAAATTTCAATCAATCACTGATATGTTTCTCCGTTAATAATGGCCTTTTCGAGGTTTTCTGAATTCATATCCGAGTTCAACTAATTTCTTACGAACAATAGACCTTGTACCCTTTTTAACCGATAGTTCATTGAAGCCTGAGATAATTTTATCGTAACTCTTACGGGCATTAGCATATGCTGTTGCTGGTAGTTCAGATAGCTGCTGGCATTTTTCCTGTTTTCATATTTCAATGCATTATAGCTCATAATGAAATCCAGCTTGAAATTCTGCTTGAGAATGATTATTGTCGGTGATACCATTCCTGGAACATTGAGGCTAAAATTTTTAAGGCCAATGTACAAAATCAATAGAACTGTTGATGTATGAAAAAAATATTTAATTCATGATATGTATTAACAATTTGTATGATTACAGTAATAGAAAAATTACAAACGTGTAAGTAACTGAATTGTTTGAAAATGATTAAATTATCTTTTTCAATATTTAAGTCGGATCGGGCTCTGATATGGTTCTGGTTCTGGTTACAATTAATTTTCACAATTGGTTCATCCGTGGCCTCAGCTGGGTTGAAGGCATAATCAGGATTGAATTCACAAATAAATTCAATAGATTCACACCGATTTACCTTGCATTTTCTGGCTAATACTCTATATTGATTTTTAAATTCATCATGAGGAATTTCGCCGATTCTGAGCGAAATCCCGATCAAGTTGAGCTCATCCTTGAATTTTCCGAACTTTTCCATATCAACTTTACACAATCCCTCCAGGAAAAAAGATTTA